TTTTGTGGGACAACTAGAGGCTTTAGAATTATCTATAGTTGTATATAACGATAAGTTTATAATTTATTCGATTTGATCGTGTATTAAAACACGATTACCACTTTGTTATTTAAAGCATTATGATTACTATTACTAGCTACTATGTTTACTAGTTTTACTATATCAAATATTTCTATAAAACATAATAAAAACCGATATTTCTAAAAGAACTATGTAATAGCTCTATTAGCCCTTATAGCACTTGGTATTTTTAATAACTTTCGTTGAAATGCGTTACTATTGTTACACGAAATTTTCGATTACAGGGGTAAGTACATTTGCTGACCAATGAAATTGTAGCATCAGTCATATCTAATCAAATTATATACCACGAACAGGTCACTAACGCTTATCCTCTGTCGCATAAATGGTATACGACTTTGATTCTATTGGTGTCTTTCGTGTTTAAACATTTATAAATTCATAACATTTATTTATTTTGTAGGACATTGAAAAATTACAGCCAACGCGTTTTTTATACGATGACTCGGATTCTGAATTCGAAGAAGACTTCGACTACCAAAATATTGACTCACTTGGTCCTCCGGTTTTACGTTTATCCCACTTTAAAAACAATACTAAATTTCTAACCAATACATTATTAATTGGAATTAATGGTGGTGGAAATTCATTTATCGAATCAATTTCAAGTAATAAAAAGTTAATCGGAACTATATTGTTACCCGAAATTGAATTGGTAGGTATTTTACGTTATCTTCAATTATCAAAGATTTATACTTATTTATGATCAATATTACAAGATTCACAATACGTTAAATCAAGAAAATATATCAAATCAAGGATGTTTTATCTATGAAATGGATTCCAGTCCAAAAACTTTGTTAATTCCGTGTAACTATAATGTTAATGATGAAAGATGTTTTGTTTGGGCTAAAACACTATTCAATCATATTGAAGCTGAACGGTAGTTATTTCATCGTTAAAACACCTTAATACTTGTCATTTATATAATTTTTTCTAAAGTATATCATCACACAACA